GTCTTGTTTTTATCAGTTTAAACAAGTTTTCTCCCAAATACATGACAGGTAGCTTGATACAGAAGTATAAGGGATTGAATACAGGGAATATGAACTTAGAAAATCAGGACTATAATATCTTTCTTTCATAATACCATTTAATTTTCAGTCTTATTGTTCAGGAAATGAAAGGAAAATTGTATTTTCCCCTGTTTTACTCATCTAGAAACCGAAGGAAGAGTAAATTCTGTTGTCAAAGGCTTAAAACAATATATGTTCAAGCACTTCATTCATGAACACTCAGAACAGCAAAACTCTATTCATCTTAAAGCTGAATCCTCAGTATGAATTAACATGGCAGCACTATCAAGTGTTAAGTGCAGTGGAAAAGATCCTACCTTCAGAGAGAAGATCTAAATACCTTTTTTAAAAGTTATTTAAGGTGTTTAAGCAATAATATTGAAATTACACCATAACACAAAAAGAGACAGAAAGAACCATGTTGGAGGAATGGTCCAGACCTCCCAGTGTCTTGTTCAGCGCTGGCTGATGATGTGTAGGGTAAAGTGTAATGAAAAAAGTATGTCATGATATAACCATGTAATGGTACTGCTCAGAAGTCACCCAGACTACCTGGATTTTCAGACCAGGGATTTCTTGAACTACAGCCTTATTTATTTATTTATTTATTTAGTTAGCTAGTTAGTTAGTTAGTTAACAGCTACTTTTCTACATTAATTTGCCCAGTCACACTTTCAATTCTTTCAGTATTTGTTGTAAGAGCACTAAGGAAACATTCCCTGAGCCCTTCCCTTAGTAAATTCGCAGGGCAAATTAGAAAATAATTCTGATGAGTTATAAAATAATGGGAAAAATGAGATTGATACAAGGAAATCCTGAAGCCAAGAACTTGATAAGTCCTACTGGTACTTAAGTGCTTATTCATAAAATATACACTGAGTATACCTTTTGGATATTGGTAGCATTTTATATGTCAGACAGGATTCAGATGCATGGCATAAATTGCTATCTCATTTAATTTTAGTCAAATTTCCCTGGAGTAAAAAGCAATGGTTACTGTTTCCATTTTGTGCAAATTTATTTAGTTTTCATTTTTGAATCTAACAATTAAATACAAGATCTAACCTTTTAATCTCGAACCCTTGACTGAATGTTGGTTGACACCCCATAATTTTTTTGTGACCTATGCCAGCCACAGAATACTCTGCTTCATATGCTGACATTTAAACCAGAAACCACTATTCTGAACAATGGTTTACATACATTAGAATTTAATAAAAATTTTTGATTTCTTTAATTTACTAATTTAACTTATCTATTATTTAACTGTTGCACTCGCAGGCCCTCACCAGGACCAAGACCTTGCTCTGGTGGGTGCTGTACAAACATAAAGAAAAAACCCACCTTTCTAAAGGACTTAACAGTGTAAGCCAAGAGACAACAGATGGCTGCAGACACACATATGGGGAGGACATGGAAACAATACGGCTGTATTAGTCAGTCTTATTGACATGGCTCCAGCATGTTAGCAACTAACTGTTGTTAACAGAAAGGTGGAATTCTTAGGAGCTATTTATGTTTTTTTCCATAAAGCATTTGCTTTGCAGATGTTTAGAGAAAGTTTCTCCTGCATGGAAGGGGAAGAAGAAGATCAGATACAAGTTCATCAGGCATATCAGAGTCAGGGATGGAATATGCATTGCTGCTTTTATCTTGAAAATTTTTCTGCTTGTGAAATGTTTGCATGAATTGGAATAATTTCAGATATTAATGTATTACCGTGGGAGGACACAAAGTCCAGATACTGCCTTTGGGTATTAGCTCCTGAAGAAGCAGAGGTTATGTACTGAGCTCCTGTGCTGAATCATGACCTGTCAATGTGTCTGCGTCCCTGTGCTAGCTGAAGTATCTCCATGCTCAATATATTTCCAAACACACCTGACTCATGTTTTGTGTTTTTCACATCTTCACTGCTGCCATTTTTAAATTATTTTGAATATACTTTCATCAATGTTAAGCATTTTAAGCACAATACTTTCATATAAATCCTACAAACTTTTATTTTGCTCCTTTGGACTGCATGCACAGTGAAATGGAGTTATGTTTTTATTTTACACCATTTTAACTCCTGATCACATTTTTGTTCTACACCATTTTAACTCAGGCTGCTTCTACAGTCCCAGGGTGGTTTGAGGTAGCTTAAACAGTAATGTCTGTCTTTCCTTTTTTCCTTTTCTTTAAACTCTTGTAATTACACTGTGTAACGCTAGTGGGCATAGTTGCTAAAAGTAGCAAATAGGACTTTATACTTGATGGTAGTTATATATTTATTTCAGTGCTTTCTCAAATCAGAATCCTTAAAGAACAAACTGGTTCTCTGTCAGATTAGTAAAGGAAATGGTGGTGTGGTTATCTACCTTAAAGAAGGAGAAGGGGAATAAAAAAATCTACAGAAGCATACTTTTTTCTCTCTATTCTGCCTCATGAGTACTTTTACCTGTTGCTTTTCAACACAGAAACTTTGCTCTCTGGTAGTACTGTATGTCTCAAAATACATCAAGGAATATCAGAGTAAGCACAAATGAATTAGGTAAAAAGTAATCCTAGAAGTCTAGGTTCAAAATGCAGTGCTGTCAAAGTTAAAACATTTCAGGACACAATGCATCCTATTCTGGTCAACGAAATAAATCCAGAAGAATAATTACCTATTGTAAAACCTGAAACAGAACTACTACTGAACAATCTTCATTGGACATATGTCTGTAACAACCCTCTGAAAGGGTTGGGGGGAGGAATGGGACTGAGAAAAATAAGAAAATAAAATGAAGGATGAAGGAAAGGTCAACAAAATATCCATTGGGACTCCTAGGGGCCAAGCTAAATCAAAAAAAAAAAATAAAAAAAATTTGTTCTGAGGGCTCTGATTGAAAACAAGTATCAAAAAAAAGGAATTTTATAATACAGAAAAAAATGTACAACTAGGATGAGAGGAAGATGAATTTGCCAGTAAGTTAAAATGCTAGAAGGCATTCACCTGCAAAAGCACATATTTTTGGGCATCAGTACAACCCTGACTTCCTCTGTGTACTTTCAGGAACACAGGGGATTTTCCCAGAATGACAAAATGGCTTAGGCTGGAAGCGACCTCAGAGATCATCTAACCCAACCTCTCTGCCACAGGCAGGGATGCTTCCCAGCCAGACTTGGTTGCTTAAGGCCTCATCCAACCTGGCCTTGAACACCTCCAGGGTGGGACATCCACAACCTCTCTGGGATGGCATAACACAATGGTTTCTCAAGCTATGCACATGTAAACAGAACCAACCGATGATTGGTAAAGGATTAAATGAATAAACAAAAATGTCAGACTTTTTGTACTGACACCCTCCAGTCCCAAAACAGTGAACAAAATCCAGCAAAACTGAGAGTTGCAACTGATTCAAAATAGCTGATGACCCAGCAACCCTCTCTTTCACCATTCAAATTTCTAACACTCTAGAGTTAGCATTGTTCAAGGAGACCCATCCTTTTTAAATGCAAGAAACATTATGAGTTTTTCACTCTTACTGAATTTGAAGATGGGTGAAATATATATACATGTGTATTTTAATGCATTATGTATTTGTAGCTTTTCTGAAATAAAAAAAAAGTAAGAATTTGTGCTTAGCTATTTCTCCTCTTCTTCCAAACTAGAATAACCCTCTAGTCTTCTTCCTGGCACTTCAGTTTTATGTGGACAGCAAAATAAAAAATATTTACTTATAATCAATATATATTTAAAATCTCAGTTAAGAAGATTAGTGCCTTTGAGGCAAAATATCTGTTTCATTGTGTTGATATATAATTATCTATTTATTTGATTTATTATCACTTAAAACAAAGTTCAAAATATTTACATATAGTGACATTTGGAAGAAAGTGAAAGATGGAGTCTCAGAGGATCTCCCTAGCCCTCTGACAGATCCATTTCCTTTCAATTAAAACCCTGAAAATAGCTGAAACTCTGGCTCACAGCTTCTAAACACCAAGTCCCGCTGCAGAATTTCCATCCTGAACAGTTTAAAGTCAATTTGCCAGTGTTGCACGGTTGGAGTCAGCTTAGTTTGCCACGTCCCACCTTGCCTGGAGATGTTGGTGACAAAGGACCATGGGCTTGGACGTTTTCCAAAGCAGTTCCCACCGCTGAACCTATTACTGGAACAGCTTCCAGGTGCAGCAGCCTCACTGTTGCAGAGCTAGAAACCAGTAACTGTGCTACTGAAGCATGAGCAGGACTTACTTTCATCTAATTGGCATGCATTTTCCTCTTAAAAATACTTCTCTCCTATGCTCAGATTATCTCTCCTTAGCAGGAACATGCAGAAGGATAAACATGAATAATGGAGGAAGCTCTTGCCTAGAGACAATCAAAGTAGGGAGGGAATGAAACCTCTTTTCAAGCAGACAAGGCAGGCAAGACTTACCTACCTGCTGCCTGCACACATTCACCTGCTGGCACTGCACTGTGGGACTGCCAAGAGACAGTTTAAGAACAAAAAACATAAAAAGTTGGGAGATCTATGGAAAGCAAAAGATTGTGCATAACTGATTGTGGATGGGCAGCCACTGAACAACTGACAAAAATGGTAGTGTTACACTTGGTAAGAGAACAGATAATAGAAAGAGCTGTAGGGTAACAGAAATTATTCCTTTAAACAGAAGTGCTGATAAAAGGTTTCTCTCAGTGCTGTTGTTGATCTTTGGTGACTTAATCATATTGGAATATTTCCTCATAAATAACAAAACAGATATTAATTTAGATGGTGTGACCGTGAGAATTATGGAAATAGCTATAAATAAATCCATAGGTGAATGAGAATCCCGTTTCCTCCATTATGTTTCAGCACCACATCTGAATTTCTGCCTCTCTGGTACATATGTTGCTGGCCTTTATGACTGCATAAACTCACTGGGGCAAATGTTAAGAAAAATGTGAGCAGGGCAAAACCCCCACCATTTTATGATTTTTGAACTCTCTGGAACAATGAGGTAAGTATTCTGGAATGCATATGAATACGAATATGTTGTGATTAATATATAGACACTCTGCAATAAATAAAGTTCATGCTCAATGAACTTCATGCTTCAATATTACAATCCTAAAGTATTTGGGTGAATATTACTGATATGGTTGATTAGGTGTGATGTACTTACGTCATTATGCTTCTGAATTTTGCTGTCTGAATAAGTGATGTAATATACACACAGCTTAACATACACACAGTCCTTTATCAAGGATTCTCACAGCATACCCTTTGTTATACTCAGTTAAATTTTAAGCATCAGTTGCCAAAAAGTTTCACCAGCCTCTTCTCTGTTCAGGCTTGATGTATGTGACCTTTGATATGATTCCTATCCTGTGCTGGACCTTATTATTTAGGGTTTTTAGAATCTCTGATTACATTGTTCAGAGTTTAAGGAGGGTGAAACTTAAATATAGTGATTATGAAGGAACTGTAAATATACACCATTTCTACTACACTGTTAAACGAACATTAGTACAAGTTTTGTTTTTATAGGGAAGGATTTGATTTAGCCAAACACAGACAAAAATAAGAATCAAGCTATTAAACACATGCCTACAATTTATTTCGGTGGGAAAAACAATCTTCCAAACACAGAATCGCTTTCCACTCAAAAATCCCCTCCAATGAAAACAATAGTCTGATTTAAAGAGCTGTTTCTCATCCATGTGCATGTTTTTGTTGAGAGTTCAGTGCAGGTCTCTCAGCTCTACAAAGAAATGGACAGTAATTTTGTGGTGTTATCTTAAAAAAGGAGGATGAAGAGATGAGATTTCCACTAAAAAGAAAAAAAGTCTGCTCAAACCATCAACATAGACCCTCAGATACATTTTCCTCTGCCACTGGGATGCTGAAACATTAAATTAATGATTAATGTATGGGAAAAGTATGCACAGAGCCAGGTCCTGTACCTGCTGCTGCTGGTAACATGACTGCTGTGGAGTGAAGGATCACACTTCCTGGCTCCTAAGTCACTTTGATCCTTTTGTAAACATAGCTGATAATCTCATTCATTCATGATTTTGGCATCTTTCAAATTCTCCCTGACTGCTTTAAAGGACTACCCAATAATTTTAAAAGTTCTTAGTGCCTTCTTTCAAATGATATCATTCAATGTTGCTTCTGTGCAGAAGTTACTGGCAAGTATAATTCAGCTGCACATATCTGAATTTCTTGTACCAGAGAAAGACAACAGTTTACCTTGGTTTTTTTACAATCTGCCAAATGGCCCCACAGATCTGTTCGGTATACATGTTTATTGCTCATAATATGACAGAAAAAGCATTGCAGAGCCACTTGGGCTTTTATTCATCTTTTGTTCTAAGCAATTAACTTCCTGTTTTTATCACAGTACAGTTTCTTTTCCCTGAAATGAGTCACTCCAAAAAGATAAGGAGCATTAGGATTCAAAGCTGACACTCATGCATACAGCTGTCGTTTTACTAAATTATATGAAATTTGCAAGTATTTCTAATAAAAAACTGTAAAAGGCAGCTTATTTTTCCCTATACTGTTCTCGGCTCTTTCACTTGAGCTACACCATGTTGGATGGACCTGAGGAAGGAAACAGAGAAAAGAATCACACTTCCTATGTATCTCAGGGGTCATGTGACATGGCAGCATCTCAGATTTAATATTCTTTTCATCTATCTCTTAAATCAGACAAGCACTGAAGTACTACATAAAGTGCATTTTTCAGGTGTCTTAATTAGCCTGTCACATTGGAATAAGGAAGTCCAATGTCCTCCAGCATTAACTGCAGTTAAACATTAAGGCACTGAGGTTCGTTAAACTTAATGGCACTGAGAAGAATCATCATGTCTTTAACTTTAGGCCTAACAAATACAATACACTGATCAAAGAACTGGCTGTTGTACAGAGATGTTAATTTACTCTGGGCACATTTTATGATGCTTAACTAAAAAAGGACGTTTTAACACAGCATTTGTATTTTCAAATAAATGTTTGGATTTGGTAAGTATGGACTGACAAGTACTTTGCTTAAACCCTTTTAAAGAGATTTGAAAAATAATAATCAGGGCAAAGATATATGGGAATTAAAGAAGTCTCCAAGATGTGTACCATGCACAAAAGGCATGCTCTTCTTCAAAGGAATTTTTGCATGTGTGGTGTTTTTTTGTGTGTGGTTGTCTAGTATTTATTTCGTTATCTCCTTGACTTTTGCGTAACACTTCTGCTTGAATAAAACTGTCAAGTTTGTATGCTTAAAATCAGGTTTCTAAATCAGAAGAGCAGATGCCTATTTAATTGAAAATATTGCCATACATTAATTTTCTAACCCGTAGGGGTACTCATAACTAACTTCAAATCAGTCAGACTAGCTATGTAAATCACAGCCAGTAACAGTTGCTTATACCTGCTTGTGGGGACAATAGCATATGTTGTCAAATTTGATTTAATTAAAAAGTCTGTGCAATCAGAACCAGCGTGACGCATGACACTTTTGCTCAGTATTGTTTTGCTAAGAGATGAACATGCTGATTGACCATGCTTCTAAATTATTTTAGTAAAGAAAATTAGCTGCTTCAGATTTTCCTTAGAAATGTTTCCTCCTTAGGAATTTTTTAACTAACATATTTTCCAAATGGGTAATTTGTTTTTTCTTAACTTGAAACCTTTTATGTAGAAATTTAGCTATTAGAATACAGTTTCTTCAAATAAAAACTTTCTTTTCAGTCAAAACCACCTTTATCCTGTGGTTTATTAATTTTATTTTTTTTAATTAAAGTTTTAAAAAATGTTTATATTGTTTGACTCAAAGTTCCTTCTCTGGCACAACTCTGTGGCTGAAAGCAATATACAGAATATTCTGCCAGAAATTAAGACCAGCCAACCAATGTCTAAGCAGCTTCAGTATTTGCCAAAAAAAGGGGTAGACTGTCCTTAATGGTTGCTGGAAATGTAAATGAAACACAATGAGAAAGTGCACCCAATTTCCAACTCTGCTGAAAAGGAGAGGGCAGTAGGCAGGCTACGAGAGGAAATTTTCTAGGACTTTATTTCAACAGGACT